AAAACACCTATTTCAGAACATGACCATAATGGGTTTATTAAAATGGATCCGTTTATTCTTGCATGTAATGATGCAGTGTGTTGCATTAGTTCATTACACCGGACGCAAGAGGGGAAGCTTTTAAGTTTAAAGCAAAAAACAATGGAGAGCGTCAGTAAAGACTGAACTGGGTGGCAAGAGAGGTCTTTCCTTTCTATGCAATGCCCTGTCCGTTATCACATTTTTCAACCATCCTAGGACAAAAAAGAACATGGAGACCATAGTGTTTTATTCCGCTCATGGCCCACGAGAGAATCACTACTTTTATGGGATGATCAACTGTAAACAGCTGAGTAGAGGGAAGAGTCTGGCCCTGGCAGTCAGGAGGAGTCACCCATATTGATGAGATGGGGAAGGGAGAAGGCAGCACAGTGAGGAGCAGAGCTCTGGGGTGGGGAAGCTCCATTTGCGTCAGTGCTCTGAAGGGGTGCTGTGGGTTGGTGTTTTGGAAGTGGCAAAATTAGAGCTCATATTTTTGTTTATGTTAGTGCATAGCAATCATGCAGTTGCTGTAGGAGCCTGCTACAATGTGGTGTTGGTGATACCATTGGGTTTGGACCTGTGATGTCTTCCAAGTGACAGGGGCACCGGTGGGGCTGTCCCTGGGGAGGAGTCAGCAGACAGGGATGATGCAGGATCTTGCTTGTAGCCCTTTTAATCTGGAGCCAACAACCAGATATCCAAGACGAGAGCAGAGATGAAAGGCAGTCCTGGTTTGACAGGAGGAGGCTGCTTTCCCACAGAGGTGGAGGTAGCAGTTACATTTCCTCCAGTGCAGCTAAAAAAAATGAGCTCCCCTCCTCCCTAGGAATTTAGGGAATATTGCTAGGGGAGGTTCTGTAAATGGAGGAGTAGGGCAACTGCAGAGAGTCATGAAAATACATGAAACATAACAAATGTCTCAAGAACAGGAAGTGCTCAGAATAGTTAGATTCTTTGATTTAAGCAATTGTGATGCACTGTAAGGCCCAGGAAACTACACAAATCTATCTGTTGTTTTTAACAGTCATGGGATTGTTTTCAACAATAATTAGTTGTCCTTTGATGTTAGATACTTCTGGTATCATAAATTATATAAGGAATGGGCCCAGTGTTCTCCTAAATCTTGTTTTCATTTTCTATTTTGCTTTTATCAAATGTAGGTGCTATTTCAATTTGATATTTTGTATAGTATTTTTGTCTGCAATGTAGCTCTTACTTGTTCTTTGATAGTCAGTCTCTTGGGTTAAAAGTTAAACAGATTGCAGTTGTCATATGAGGGCCTTTCTAGAGTGTTGCTGGCATAAAACTTAATTTTTCTTTTTTTTCTTCTTCAAACTGAAAATTTGTGTTTTCCATTAAAAAACAACGTGTTTGCAGCTCCTCTAAGTTTGGGACACCTTTAAGATACATTAAAATACTTGAGACCAAGTAATGAGAAATCCAGGAAATAATGGTACCACTTTTTTACCTGTTGTTAAATTATTTGAAGATGTCTGAGCTAAATGCTTCTCCTGCTTTGGGGGAAGTACTTAGACTTCTAACACCAAGCCAGGAATGCCTGGGGGTACCACCTCATAATGCCATGGTAACCCCCCTTCCCCTTTCCCCCTCCTGATTCATATCAGTAGAAAAACTGGTGATGTTGTTAATTAATCGATAATTTTTCATTTGGAATACATCTGGAGGAAAAGTTACAGTGTTGGTGGAGATTACTGTATGGGAAAGATTGTGTTACACAAAAATTGACATCAGTATTGCAGATAGAGCTTGGGGGGAAACAATGCTTTCCGGTTGTTTTTAATAGCTGGTGCCATAGAAAAACTAAACCAAATCCAATCTTAGAGTGGTGCAGCCCTCTGTAGAATACCAAAGGAAACTGTAACTAAGGATTAGTAGCTAAAGGATTATTTCTTTGGCAGAATAATCTGTAATTCTGCTGACTGAAGACAGCTCCAGCAAAAATGCCGTTAAAGCACTGTCTTGAAATCTGCTCTTTCAGTGTGTGAAGAAGGCTGGTTGTTTTGGTTCCTTTAAGCAGTGCAGGACAGAACACTGGAGCTGTTCAGGCAAATGGATACACAACAGAAAACAACAGGCACGGTGACATTGCACCTTCATGCGCCTGTTCACAATGCTCAGCTTTCAAAAATGATAGACTGGGAAGCTGTGGAAAATTGCACACAACTGCACCAGCAGCAATAGTTCTCACTTTCATGTTTTTCATAAAAGCCAAGCTGTCCTTTATGGGCTATTAATTTGTGAAGCCATTTATCTCAGGGCAAGACTTTATTTACACAACCTAACATAAAGACAGAAAATTGTGGCCCGAGATTTAAAAATGTCACTGCACATGATGCCAGGATAAACATCACAGAAATTTATTTCAGTTACATCTACCCTGGCACTTCACAAATAATTTTTTTTTTGTATTGCCCTTTGGCACGATATTATTTCCCTATTCACCTACAACAAAGCTCTCTCTAAGCCAAAGAAATACATGTCTATCAAATAGAAATGTTTTTCATAGAAATTGGAATAATTAGATATTGCAACACTGTGCCTGAGAGAGATTAAAAGGATATTTTTTTATGCTGTGGCAGGGGCCACTTGAATTTTCCAGTGGCTTCCTTCTTTACCACCGTCTTTGTCTTCTTTACCTGTTACATCAGATGTAAAGGCAGGGGGAGGTGCCTCAGGAGTGCTCCTTGTGGCACACATTGTGTGTTGTGGTAGTGCAGCTCAGGGCCGGTAGGATATCCAGCCCTTTCTCTCCAGAACTGCACCAACAGGTCCTGAGACATTGCTCCACTTTTTCCCACCTTTATCTCTGTGAGAGTCTCTTCTTTTGAAGTTGTTTTGACCTTCTGCCAAGAAGAGGTCAAACCAAGATGCAGTTGTTCTAAACCAGTCTCTTCATAGCAGGATTTCCTAGTCTCTTGGGCGGAGATCTTGTTTTCCATTTCGAGCAATCTGTTTTCTGCAATAAACACTGAATATGTTTCTCTGTTGCTATAGAAATAATATTTCATTAAATGAGGGAATCAGTGCCCTGCTGTCGACAAATCTAATCTAAGTGTTAGTCTCTAGAGCTTGAATTTCACCACTGGGAAGAGGTATACATAATTCTGCAAATTATTTCTGTAACTTTTGCATAAATGTCTTTATACTCTGCAACTGTTAGCTAAATTTCCCAAAGTGATAGCATGGAGTTTAACATGGTGTAATGTGTTTACAAGGATCTGAACAGAGCCTTTCCCCCTCGCATTTCCCCGCCCTCCTCCCCCATACATTTTCATATTTAGAGCTTGAAATGTCCAACTCTTTCCATAGGATAATGGGAAGTGTCAGTAAAAGCAGTGCTCTCAGACAGGTTCCTTATCCTGCGGACAGCAGTGTGCCAGGTTTATTTGAACTTTTGGATTTATTTTTTAAAATCCAGTGTCTCCAAGTAATATAGATGTTATTTCCCCTGGTTTTTTTCTGGGATTAGCAAGAACAGCCTAAACTGACCATTAATACACCCCAAAAAGCAATCTGCTCTTCACTATGACTTTGTAGACTCCACTGGATATCATATGCCCAATATTTGTCAAGTTACTCAAAGATCTTCTTACAATAACTTTTTACCCTCTGCAGCAGTTAAACCCAAGAGAGTTGTGGTTTTGACTTAATGCACCTCATATCAATGTCCTTACATTTAACCATAATTTAGACCTAATATGTTTTTTTTCTCAGTATTTTTCTAAAGTTGTAGAATTCTGATAGTAGCAACAAGGTGGTACTAAAGCCTGTAACTGTAGAGTATGTAAAACAAAACATCTGTTAATAAGGGTGAGTGTTTATCAACATATTCATCATAAGTATTGTGAAGAAATTGTAAAAAAACCTTTTATTTCACAGTTGCAATACAGGAACCTATTTATGCATTTCTGCTTATAAGGTATGTGTGTAGTTAGGAAAGTAAAACAAAATGTAAAAATACATGATGATTGATTGGCGTAGACCTGTGTGCAAGTGTATGTTAGAAACCTGAATTCAGAGTTTTTGTAAAAATCCTGTTACAGTTTTTGGTTTAAAAATGGAGTTATTATTTGTGATATGGGCCCATGCTAGATGTTATGTATTGCAGGACAAAATCAATTTATACATGTTCATTTAATTAATAATAATCATATCAATGGCCTCTAAAGATTAGTCTTTAGAAAACATAGGAAAACCTCTGTCATCATTAGAAAAAAAGAACTACCCTTTTAAAACTTCCTTTCTAAATTTTTACAGTGATTGTAAATCAATCTATCAATAAGATAAATCTTTGTAGGCAGGGACAAACTTCTGACATGCAGAAGAGTACCTGTATGGAAATGCATATTAATACAAAGTCAGGAATGCAGGGAAAACTAGCAAAGTACACAACAACATTTTATTTTAAATTTAATGGCATGCTTATTATTAAAAGAGACTCATCATATAAATAAGTCACCACAAGACGCTGATTCAATTTTTGCTGTTGAAATAGCTCTTGTAATGAAAAAGAAAAAAATCTCAAACCCAACAGCACTTAGTTTTATTGCGCAGCCATAAAATATAAGCCAGAAGTTGACCTGGTTTTTACCCTTGTGCCATTATACCATCCAAGGCTGCTGCATTTTTTTCACCACATCATCAGTCTGTAGATGAAAAGAATCAGCTGAAGCTCCTGGTGCAAAGCAGTGACCATGGCATCACCTACTGCTGTGCTCTCTGTTGGGTCCTGTCCAGAGCCTGCCTTCAGGCCAGCAACTGAAAATGGCTGAGGCCTTGGTAAGGGAGGGACAGGGCTGGGTGGATGTACAGGGATAAAGTGGATATGTTTTTGTGATCACATCTAATGCACAATATTTCTCTTACTGTGCACAGTTCCATAAACAAAAGTGAACAGTGAAGATGAGGAAAAAAAACCTATAAACACTGAAATGTTTTGTATTTCTTTTTTCCTTTAGGAACCCGATGGAAAAAAAAACAAGAGCAAGATTTAAAGGATGTTCTGAAAAACACTGACCAGGACATACCACTGGTATTTGTCAGTGGGAATCATGATATTGGCAATACTCCAACAAGAGAAACCATAGATGATTATTGCAAGAACTGGGGAGATGACTACTTCAGCTTTTGGGTTGGAGGTGTTTTCTTTCTTGTGTTGAATTCTCAGCTATATTGTGATTCTTCCAAGTGCCCTGAGTTAAGGCAAGCCCAGGATGCCTGGCTCGATGAGCAGCTGGCTGCTGCTGCAAACCAGAAATGCAAGCATATAATTGTATTTCAGCACATCCCTCTGTTTCTGAGCAAACCTGATGAAGATGACAATTATTTCAACTTGGATAAATCAGTTCGTCAGGAGATAATGGAAAAGTTTCATAAAGCAGGTATTTTCTCAAACTTTCCTACTCTTGAATTTTTGTTTCAAATTGTTAATGGCTCTGCTGCCAGACAAAATACATTTAACTTAAATGATACTGTTTTCAAGGAATTTTTGAATACAGCTTCTACGCCTCATTGTTTCCCATAGATCAAAATTATCAACTGAATCTACTCACTCAAACAAAATTTAAAACTTTGAGTGAAAAGTAAGGAGCTAAACATGAAAAGTTCCTTGACATAAATAGCAAGGGTTCCATTTTGAAAGTACTGACAGATACAAGACAACCTGAGTTTTTCCTGCCTACAGAGGGGAGATCAGGTATTGCCATAGGAGAAAAATACAGAATTTATGTTTTACATAAAACATGGAAACAGAATTCACAATTACCTTGGAGGTTGCTTTCTCCCACACTGAGCCAATTTTAGACGAAGAGTGTAATGCACCCCAGATTTATTCAGTGTTAAAACAAGTCCTGCTCTGCTAAAATCAATCCTTTGCACATCCGTTTCTAATAGGGGCCATGTCTGGGATGAAGGGCAGGTGGAGCATGTGCTAAATGAGTAATTGTATCTAATCCCTCAGTTTTGAGTGATGCCACTTGAGCGCCATGGAGACAGACACAGTACACAGCTACTCCTCCATGCTGTTCCTATTGTTTTCTGGTAATTGCCTTCATGTTCCTGGAGTGTGCCAGTCCCTCAAAATTTCCTGCCATCCTGCCATCACTGCATCAGAATGTCATTTTCTCTGTATCTATGAGAGCACATTATTTGGATTACTGAACAATGCAAATTTTTTATGATCTTGTTCCTAATTTACCATCTAATTGTTAAGCCTGGCCTCATCCAACTCAGCCTAATTTCCAAGCTCTCAATCTCCTACTGTTTCCAATCAGTGGGGCCAAAATTCACAGCTATCTGAGGGCTCTCCAGGGCACTGGAATATTTGTAGATTCAAGATTCACAAGTGGGGTTTTATTCCCCCATAAGGAGACACGCTGACAACACCTCATATCTTTTTTCATTTTTGTGTCAGTGTTAATATAGTGCGAAATGTTGCTCTTGGAGAGCTGGGCAGCTGTGACTGCCTGTGTACCATGCACTGCAGCACATCCTAGTTCATGGGTGTATCCCAGGAAACTGGCATTAATGTGGGAACCAAAGCAGTTCTGTTCTAGGATTTTCTGTCATCCAGTTGGCTTACTAACAATTGGGAATATAATTCATCAAGAGATAAAAGAAACATTACCATTGTAACATTGTTGTTACATTGTCGTGTTTCTTAGAAGGATGTCTAGAGGCTTAACGAGAAGATGGGAAGGCTTCAAATGGTGGCAGAAGGGAACAAAACGGGAAGTGAGCAATACAGCTAGGGAAGAAATTTCCAAACTCCTTTCTGTGCCACCTTTCTGTTCCCTCCTTCATTTCTTTTTGTGTCCCTCATTCCCATCTCTAATAAGTTGTTTGGTTCCTTAATGAGTGTTTTTAAACACTGATCTTTGGCATGCTCATTACTATACACTGAGTCAATAGGTAACATTTGCAAGCCAATAATCAAACATTCTGCTAATGAAATGAGTACAGAGAACAGACAGCTCAGTAACTCAGACTGCTGAGAAAAATGAGTTGAATCAAAAGTTGGCTCAGTTACCTTAGTAACGGGTGCATTCTGTTTCCATTTTATTATTCCATTTAAGAGCAGCCTTTGTGAAACCACAGAGGTCACAGTGGGTTGCAGAGAGGCTGTTGGCATGGTTGGGGTAGAGGCACAGAACTGCAAGGACACCGCTTGCTTTCTGAACCTCTGCTTTGCCAAAGAATAAGCAAGTTCAGTATATCATTAGACATGAAATTGGTTTTCACCCAGTTTACTTCATGCATTCTTGGAGGATTAAAACACAAAATATTGCTAATGAAATCCCAACATACTTTGCTTTTTCTTAATTAAAAATTTGGTATAACTGTTTATTCTGGAAAAAGAAAGTCTGCCTTTTTAGGAGATCACCAGGCTGCCACTATTCATCTCCCCCAACCTGTCACCAGTCCTCCCCTCCCCTCCCTTCCTCTTGCTGTTTCAGTGCCTGTAACTGTGTTTGTTGTGTCATTATATCAGTAACACGCATGGTTTAGGGTGTTTGGCATTATTAGATGGGCATCATATTTCAGTTGTTTATAACCCAGGATCAAACCTGGCATTACCCCAGTTCTCATGCTTATACTTTTCTAGAAGACATGGAGGCATAACTCAGCAGATTAGAGAGGTACAGGAAATGAAAAATAATCTAGTCATTCAGGTCTTTATGAGAACAAAGAAATTCATATGGATTGTGTAGGAAATGGTCAGATACTTAAAGTATGGTAATATTGGTCATATGGTCATAGGTGATTTAAACTATGTATGCAACTTCAGAAAATTCTTATTTTACTTCCAAAGCCCAGATCTTCTGTAGTTATTCTCTTCTAATCACTCCCATATTACACAGTGGTTTTGGTGTAAGTATATGCTCATTACAAGCAGAGATAAAAGACTAACTGTAGAGGCTACATCTGGTATGAAACACTGAACTACAATTCTCACATTAGAAGTGTCCTTAACAGTTGGGCTAATTAAAGATAAAATCATGTCCTTATGATAAATATTTATAATTGAAAATCTGGCACTTGTAAATATGTGTTACTACTGTAAAAGTTACACCATACTTCTAAGCTGCATATGTAAGAATTCCTGCTAGAACATGTGTTTTTTAAATTGCATTATAGCAGCTATTGTCCTTGAAAATGTGATTTCAGTCCCAGTGAAAAGCAACTCAATTCAGAACAGAGTTTAGCATTCAAGTAGAGATACCTTTCTGAAGGTATATTGGTATAACTTTTACAAGTTAAGCCTAAGTTGTCAAAGCTCTGTCTCTTCTACATGCAGACTTTAAGTACAGAAAAAACCTGTGTGCAAGAGCTGTGAAAGAGCTGACCTGACGTTCTCATCTGTAAGATCTGCTGGAGTCACTCAACTCTACTGCATGAAATGCATATTCAGCTTTTAAGGATTTTACAGTGCTGCTATAAATAAGTTTGTTCATAGTATTGTAGGGAAAAGGAAGAAGTAATAATGGTATAGCCAAAAATCTGGCCTGCAAATCACGTGTCTTTGATAAACATAAGCAGCAAATTAAGTTTTCAAATTAGGCAGTTTATGTAATGGAAGACCTACTTTTTCTTACATATCTCATTCCAGTAAAATTTTCTTAGGACATCATATACTTTTTTTCTATGACTTGAAAAGTATGGGTATTTTTGGTGAGCTATAGACAACCTTCTAAAGACTTTCTGTCCTTAGAACCATCACTGGCACACTGCGTATTACTTGCATTAGTTAATATAATAGAGTAATAAATGTTTCTTAATGGCACAAATCAACTAAAGCAAATGTCTGGACTTGTTTAGGAGCTCTGTTGAATAAAACCTAAATTGATAGATGGTTTTTCAACAACTGGGTTGGAAAAAATCTTGTTTCAGAATAGGTGGTCTATGTACCTGAGAGATGATGCATCTTAGAGAAAATAACTAGACCAGAGATAGAAATATAGAGAAGGAAATTTCCTAGCTTCTTTTAATTAAAAAGTTTTAAATTCATCCAAGTGTCTTCAAAGCAGTTTTTCAGATGTGGTTAAAAGTACTTAATATGCTCATGGAGCAAAAATAACAACCTAACTTCATTAAATGGTGTATTTTTTCATTATATTTGTGACTGGAGGTGCTGTAACTTCTAACACCTTTACTCATTAAAAGAGTGTGATACATCTACATTCTCCTCTTAGAAATGTTGTGACAGAAGAACAGTGTTAAAGGAGGAAGAAGCTTTCAGAACATCCACAGCTGAGATATATTTGAGCACAAAATTAAAGCATGGAGTGTTGAAAGCTGTTGTTTCTAAAATTTACCAGACAACATATGCTATGTTTCATTATTTTCTTTGTTGTGTAATCAGAGTTGACAGGGGAGTAATATTTTCATCTTCCTGCCATTGAGACCTTGATTTTGGCAAAGCCCATACATTGAGTGAGTAATCTCAGTACTTACGTGTCAGTATTTAAGATAATTTAAATACTCTCTACTTCAGTGATTTAGATCAACGTCTTTCAAGGTTGCAGTTATGCACTTACGGCCCAGGTAGAGTTACCACATTTGATATATTCTATGTAAGAACAGTTCCCCAGGTATGGTAATATAAATCTTGCACAGAGATACACATAGATATAGATTTTAAAAAAAATAAAATCAGAAATTCAGCAGCAAGTACAAAATACATGAAGTCTGCAAGGACATTAAGTAAAATTTGTTCTTGGATAAATTTTTTTTATTGGTTTTATCCACTGGGCTAAAGCTTCTTCTTGATCCTTAGAGCACACAGCAGTCCGGGACTGTTTGGGGTTTGTGTCAGCTCTCTGAGAAAGCATCACTTTCAAATTGAAAAAAGTAACAAAACCAGGAAGTAAATTCCACTGAAAGGTCACAAGAGGCATTCACAAAAATGAATTTGAAGGACAGAGTGACCTTCTAGAGACAGGACCCCTAAAGGCTTATTTAGACCAGTGCTCTAATTAGGTGATCTGGAGTCACCTTCTGGCTGTGCCTACTGTTTTTCCTCTGATTATATAGGAAAAACAAGTGACACTAAAATCCTTTTCTATATAGCTCTATTTAGTATTGTCTTATAGAAAGAAGCTTTCAGCATAAATGCACTTTTGAAAACAGTATTTTGTCTCCTGCTTACACAGACCCACTGACCACCAGCTGCACCAAACTCGTGATTCTTTAAGGTACAAAGCAAATTTAAGGCAGAGGTTTCCTGCACGTTTGCAGGGTAATGTTTGCAAACAAGAGTACATGGGATTTTTTTATTGAGATGTTTATAGAGCTGTGCTATGTAAAGTCTAATTACTCAGTTCCCTTTTATTCATACAGTTCTTCTGAGGAGGAAGGACAACAGAGAGCTTCAAAAGGGCTA